TCCATCCATATTAGCTACTCCCTTGTCATTAAGAGCTGCCCTCACCTCTTCCTTCTGCTGCCCATCCTTACACTTTAATACAACACCCCCATCCCTCAGTTTTACGACTCTTTGAAAACAGCTGGTTCGGCCCTGGGTTACTATCTCCCTGACACAATCCAACGCCGATCCTTCAGCCATAGCCGGCACCTTGACCTCAAACTCCTCCACAGGTGGTAGAGTCTTCCAACCGTCCTTGCTGACTGCCTTGCTGCCCCCCGAAAACACCGCTTTGGCGTAAGACTTTCTTTTTATGACGCCGAATCTCTATAAAGCCTTCCTCATTGTCACCTTCTGCCCCCGACGTGAAAATCCAACCACTTTCCGCACCGGACTGATTCAGTTTCCCTGCCTTGCTGACTATGGATGCCGACGTATTCAGTGTCCCAGGTACAGTTTTCAGCTTGGCCGCATAACTCAACCTATCCTGCACCGAGAAGGGAGCACCTGGCTTTTGCACAGACTTCACCGGCTCCAACACAATCGATTTAAGAGCAGCAAATTCAGCCTTTAATCCGTCGACCACGCCACAAACTTTCTCAAGCATGTCCGTACAACATCCATTCCTAACTCGACTCGCGCCTCTCTCACCCTCAACCTCGCTCGACTTCAACACCAGACTGTRGTTACTACACAATTYCTCAAAAACGACCTGAATATTGTCTYCCGCCATAATTAGAGCCTCTCTATCTCCTGCCCGAATCTGCGACTGCCTAGAAATGGCTACCTTGATCGCACTGCGRCTCTCCGCAATAACCCTACCCATACGCCGAAWAAAATCATCGCCAKGCACACTATAGTCATTTTCACTTGCCGACATGTTATCATCTTCCTCGCTGCTACTCTCRTGGGCCTCTCGTTCATGGCGACCCAGAGACCTGCTGCCGCTCTCATGGGCCTCTCGTTCCTGTCGACCCAGAGACCGATTGCTGCTCTCRTGGGCCTCTCGTTCATGACGACCCAGAGCCTTTCCTTTCGAGTCCTTCCTTGGACGCTTCGCACCTCCCATCTCAGGGCTCTCCATGACCCTGTCTTCCGAAGATGTCGACCGTGTCACTTGAGAGTTTACCGGCGACCTCAAAATTCTATCCCGCGCACAAAACCTCCCTCTCCCCCGGATTCCGACCCACTATCCATCGTAATGTCAGTCACGAAGGCCCTGCCTTTGCCCTGCCGATCGCGCTTGCTCATGCTGCATGCACAGCTTCCGGGGCTCCAAGACACACGAACACAAACACCAACACGAACACGAGAAAAAAAAAAAAAAGTAGGGGCGATGCCTCCGAACACAAAACCCTTTGAGCTGACCCCGCTCCGACACACCGTTTCGCCGCTAGAGCGCGACGAAAAGATGTCAAAGGAGAAGTGTAGCCCTTCCTCGTACGCACACAAGGACACCACTTCCACCTCTGTAACACCTGTAGTTGCCCGTCAAAATCCAAAAAACTATTTGCCACCGGGTATCGGTAGGGGCGGTGCCGCCGCGCACAAGATTCTTTGTGGCGCCACCCTTCCGACGCACCGTTTGTCCGCTACTATCCGATAACTATATAACGACAGATTGATGTCGCGCACTTCCTTCCGCGCACGCAGCGATCAATCTCGCAATCCTAAATACCCGATTTAAGCAAAAACAGTAAAAACACAATATCACAAAACAATTACAAACAATAAAGGTCCATCGGCGTGCAAAAGAAAGTCCAAACTCCAAATCAACAAATCAACTAAGGAAATTACCAAATTTCATCCTTGCCGAAAAAGAAAACAAAAAATTTCTGCAAAGGAAAAAATGTCACAGCGGCAACGTCGCACTTTGCAACCGTCCAAACGAAAGTTCACATTGGCACTGCCGCCTAGCCAAAGGGTCGAGCGAACTCGAAAACAGGTCGGATCACCGACCCGAGCAGGTAGAAAAAACCGCCGATAAGGTCCGTTACCCGAACTTTTCCTCTCAACAATCATGCAGTTTCTCTAAACTTAAGTCTCTGTAGCTGCTAATCCTTTTGCCCTATCTTCACAAAACAAAAACACGACAATACCAAAAAATGAACACTCTCCGCACATACCACCCACAAAAGAGTCCGACTATTTTTCGCGGAAATATCCGCCAAAAACTGTGTCACAAACGAGAGCGCCCGATAATGCGACCGTTCTCGATGACTACTTAAGCCGA